ACAACAACTCTTCGCACAAATCATCACCGAATCGATCCAAAGAGTCTGAAGAATACATTTCATACAATTCTTTGATTCAAATTAATAATGAATTTCTTGTGATAGAAATGAACACAATTTATGATCAAAAATATTGTGATAATTGGATTGAATGCCAACTCTTTGTGCACTTTCTCTATATTTCACACATTTATATACTTTGCCATAAAAAGTGGAATATTTTAAGTCTCATATTTTATTTATTGTAAAAGTGTTTAATTAATAATTCATTATGAATACATTTATTGAATACAAATTCAATACTCAAATTCAATGATTATTTTCTATAACTAAATGATTAATACATTATAAAAGTTTAGAAATTGTTTGAATCAGTTATTACTAGGGTTGGCAATATACAAAATTTGTATTATACAATTGTATTATTCCTTGTATTATTCCTTGTATAATACAAAGCAAGATTGCCTTTTTGTATAATACAAAAGTGGTACAGCGCCACCTATTGGTAAAATATTGTAAACACGTCAAAACACATGAAAATTGTTTGAAAAATCAATTGAATCAACCGTTCTATGTGATATAATTATTAATTAAAACAATATAACATATATAATTAATAAGATAAATGTATTAAAACGGTTTAATTTTTGTTTTTAAAACACATTAATTTTTTCCCCATAGTAAGTAAAAATACAAGTATAATACAAGGATTTTTGTATTATACATTGTATAATACAAAGCTTCGAAAATTTTTTGTATTATTCCAACCCTAGTTATTACTTCTTTACCGCATAAACAGAGAATCGCAAAATAGTTGTTTATTATACACCCAATACAGTAGTTGTAGTTTCTATAATAGTTGATAAAAAGTGTCAAATAGTTACTTAAACGGTAATTTTTTGCAATTTCTTAATATAATTACACAAATATCGCTAAATTAATGATACAAATATATGTATAGTAATACTTTTAAGTGATTTTCAGGGCGAAAACATTGTCAAGCAAGCATAAAATTGCTTATAATCAGTTCTTGTACCTAGATTTCTTATTGAAATATGTTGATTGTGTATTTTAATATAATTCACTTCATGAATGTCATTAACATGAATTACTTATGTATAATTTAAATATGGTATTTTAGTAATGATATATCATGGTTTAATTTACAATTATTCATGTGCTAGATTTGTTTGTTTTTCAATTTATGATAATTGATATCCAAATTCTTGTAATTTGTCGGTAATTTAAAACTGAAATAAAACTCATATTAATAACTCATAAAACAATTTGATTAATACTAATATTAATATTAATTAGCTTTTTATTCACTCAATCAATAAAACTGATGTGAATTGTTATTTTAAAAATTATTTTACAATAAAACAAATTAAAGTTTGAAATGTATTTTGACATAACATCGACGGCTCTCGTAATCCATTTGTTGTCCGTATGTATGTCTCATCCGGATGTGAACAGCGGTTGGGGTTACGACTGTCTGCCCGACCGTAAGGCCGAAGTGGTGTCCAAAGTGTATCCCCGACTCATCCAGTGTTTCGACAACAGATGGGGTCCGAAGAATGACACTCTCATTGATTGTTGCCATGAGTTTGAATTGATTACTGCAATGAAGACTGTGGTAAAAATTTAAGCTCATTAACTAATACTTATTTTAGATTAGCTCAACGTTTTCTTATTGGAGAGCAGTTTATACATTATTATAATAAGTTAGCACTAGTTAACAATAGTTACTAATAGTTACTGTATTTGTAATCATGTGAATTTAACAATATTGCATTACATCTATCCTGTTCCGTTTGACTTAACAAGTTTGACAAGGAGTGTACAGTACAGTCGCCGGTGCCAGTGCGGGAGGCCATATCAGAAAACCACCATGATTGTATGACCAACTATGACATCGAAGTGGACAAAGACTTTTGCGACAAACAGGAAAACATGAGTTCAATGGGAGTCCCGCCGGGCTTTGGCGACGACTATAACTGTTATGATTTGGTTTATAACTATCGCACGAAATACGAGAGAAATGCCGATACGTTTGGCTTTGAATGCACGGCACAGAAGTGGGA